TCCCCAAGGCTTCACTCTCCCTCCCAGGCTATTCAGCAGATTCTGTGCCTAAGGAAGTTATCAGATCAAATACTTAGCAGCTCTTGAGGGGCTTAAGGTAGGATAGGCAAAGTGGGAAGAAAGAGAATTTAATTGTCAATATCATTGCTCACATCCACATGTCCAAAACTGACCTCATTATCTTTGCCCCTCCCACTCCAGGCCTCCTCTCTTTTTAATTTTCCTATTATTGAAGAGGGCACCACCATTCTCCCAGTGAACCAGGCTTGCAACCTAGTTGTCACCCTGGACCCCTCACTCTCTTTCAGCCCCATATCCAATACTTCCAAATTCTATTGATTCTACCTTCTCTCCTCTGACAATGCCCCTACTCTGTGCAGGCTCTTATCACCTCACCTCCTCAATACTAAAGTGGTGGTCTCCTTACCTCAATTCTCCCCCAACTCTAGTTCATTCTCCACTCAGCTGTCAAAATGATCATCCTGAAGCTTAGGCCTTACTACGTCACACCCCACCCCTCCATTCCCATTATCAGGGGGCTTAGGGCCCTGACATGCCCCTTTTCCTTGGGTGGAACAGGGTCCAGAGAATTACATCCTCTTTCCAAAGAAGCAAAATCCCTGAAGGACCCTTTCTCTAGGGGCACCACAACTTATCCCTAGCTGCCTAGGAGCTATGTTGCCCTTCTGTCCAGGGCTACATCCAGCTATGATCTCCAATAGGCAGTGCCTGCCTGCTTCTTACTTAGGGAATAAACTTCCATCCAGGACATAGGGTCTTCTTCCCTTCCTCTCCCCAGGGTACCCCAGGGAGAGGAATGGCATTTCATTTTGCTATTTGTTCCTCCTCTTCCTTTTGCCCAGGTGGCTGCCACAGCCCTCTAAAGAGCAGAGACTTTGGGGCAGCTAGGTGGTGCAGTGCATAGAGCTCTGGCCTTGGAGTCAGGAGGACCTGAGTTCAAATACGGCCTCAGGCACTTGACACTTACCAGATGTGTGACCATGGGCAAGTCACTTAACCCCAATTGCCTCACCAAAAAGCAGAGAGAGAGAGAGAGAGAGAGAGAACAGAGATTTTGTGGTTCAAAAGTCCTGGCTGCCCCTGGACAGTGATAGCAGCATCTTCAACTACAGTGTTAAGCAAGTGAGAAAGTGAGTGAGAAAGGACTGGGGATGTAGAGAGAGGAAGCAATGGACTTTGGGGAACAATTCTTAGCACTTGAGGAAAATTGCTCTCAGTCCCAGCAAAGGAATGGGAGAGGATAGCCCATGTTTCTTGTTGCCCTCCCCACCACAAAAGCTTCTACAACAAAGGACTTTGTCCCTGCTGGTTGCTTATCTCACCAAGACCAATGGGAGCAATGGTTCCACATGTCTCTATTTGTGCCAGAAAGACTGGGAGTGATGAGGAATGGAAGGGCAGAACGAGGCCATGGAGGGTCAGTACAGAGACAAAGAGAGCATTGGTGTACAGACCAAAGGAGATGATGGAGCAACCAGGAGTATTGTGGCAATGGAGTGACTATATATAAGGATGATGGGGGATGACAATGTAAGGGGGGGGATGTCAAACAGGGAACAAGAGTACTGCAATGATGAGCCTAATAGGAGTGATGAGGCACAAGGACATGACACGACTCTAACTAAATGAAAGGGAGTAATAGGCTGTTTGGATATAGCTAAGTGAAGGAGTTAAATGACATAATTGGGGGTATATAACAAGATAAAAGGGTGTGATGGGGTCATAGGATGTAATAGGTATATCCAGATGACAGGATATAATGAGATGACAGTATGATGGCTGCCTGTGATAGAAGCTTGATACTTAAGTAGGTGGTAGATAGAGCATCCTAGTTTTCAGCCCCTAAGGTGAGTAGGGTAATAGCAATAGCCAGAGTCACATGGGACCCACAGCATATGCCTATGGGCAGGAGACCTGGGAAAGCAGGAAAACCCCTTCTCACGTCACTGGGAATTACTTGACCCCTTTCCCTGTGGCCAATGTCTCCTTTTATTCAGAAAAATATATGTGACTGGTTATAAAAGCCATTAGCTCAATTGGCCCCCAGATACCACATCTTCCTTTGGGAGAGGCAGGGATGAGGGAGCCAGAAAAGACTGGGCTTGGGGTTTGACTTTTGTTGGCTTCCAGCCCCCACTTCCTGAGGGCCCTTTACTCTGATTGAGTCAGCTTCTAACTGTGGTGGCTCTCAGGGCAACACTGAGGAAAGTAGCCTGTCAGAGGAATAGCTTTGTCATGGCAGTGACCCTGAAGAGAAGCCCTCCCCCGCCACAAGCTTCCTTCTGACAGCCCTTCCCACCATCGGCAGACCTGAGTTTTTTGTCCCTGGCTAATCTTAGAGATCTGCCCCCAACTAAAGCACCTTTTTTATTTGGAGCAGCTCAATCCCACAGACCTGAGCCCTAGGTAACCCTTCTAACCCCTAAACTGTAACTACTTCAGGATTTCCAACCAAGGTGGAGCCATGGTTGGAGTATTCACTCTAGTGATACCCAACCTTCCCCCCACCCCCAACACACAGCATAGGAAATTATAGGAAATAGGGCCCAATTCTGCCCATTAACCCATCCTTAGCAAAACACCCTGAAAGGCACAAGCGAGGGTCTGCTCAGCTGATAAGGGAATGAGAATACTTGAATGATAAGATATCCTTGATTCCTGATCTATCTCAGACTAAGTCTTGCTTAAGGGAAGTTGAACGAGGGCAGTGTTGATTTTTTCTGTTTTTTGTTTTTTCCTTATCTCTTAGGGCAAAACCCTAGAATATAGGGTTTGGTTCAGTCAGGGTAGGCAGTCCTCAGTCTCAAACTCACAAATATACCTACTCCACCACTTTGCCAAACTCAGCCTGGGCAGCTCTATCTGCTTTTGTCCCTTTCATTGCCTTGTTTTCTGGCCCTGACCTTGAGTCTTTCTGTCTCTTTTTCCTAACACTCTGCCCCTGACCTTGGGAGAAGTGGGGAAATTTGGGTTGGGTTGGAGGAGGACAAGGCATTTAATAGCTTCATTCCTTTCTATGTTGCATATTGACTGGTGTGTGATTCCCACATATCAATGAACCTTTTTGGTATTAGCGTCTCAGTTTGTGTGCATAGGAAAGGTGAGAGCAGAGGTGGGGGTTAAGTGTGTGAAGCTGTGAGTGAAGGAGAAGTCTTTAGTCTTGGTCTTTGAGGCTTCACATGGAGCTTGCAGTGTCAAGCTTGGGTTCAAACATCCCTCCTCTTCCCATCTCCAACAGCACTGCTTTCCAAGTGGAGAAGGAAGTAAAAGGGGGAGAGAGAGAGAGTCAGAGTCAGAGAGATAGAAAAGACAGACACAGAAACAGACAGAGATAGAGATGGGGTTGAGGTCTCTGATAAGTCTTCTGTGGTTTGCCATCACTGCAGAGGTTCCCTCTTCATGGCTCCAACCTGATCCCCTAGGCCTCCTCTTCAAGCCCCTGCATTGGCCCCAGCACTCTGCAGAAATAAGCCTTGTCCTTACCTTGCTACACCCTCCATTCTGTGCCTGTCTTCCCAGCTATAAAAAAGTAGATCACTCCTATTTCTACCTCCACCGGGGAATGGAGAAAGGAAGAGGAGGGTTTCTGGCAATAACCATAGGTTCCCATCAATTATTTTTTTTGGTGAGGCAATTGGGGTGACACAGCTAGTGAGTTTTATGTGTCTGAGACCAGATTTGAACTCAGGTCCTCCTGACTCCAGGGCTGGTGCTCTATCCACTGACCCACCTGGCTGCCCCAGTTCCCATCTATTGAGATACTTTGATCTTCTTGTGGCCCTGTGTTCTGTTATGTACATGCTGAGGTAGAAAGCTCTACTAGGGTGAACATGGAGACCTGTCCCCAACAAACTTTAGTTTTCTAATTCTAGGACCCCAAAGGAGGGGAGTTAGCATGGTTTCTATGATCAGTTAAAAGGAGGCTCCCAAATTCCCTACTTCTTCCCCAGAGTCAGGGCCTCCCCATTATATAGTTCATAGTTCCTCTGTCTGGGTGACTTACAAACTTACATTTCCCATTACAAGCTAGAAAAGTCACCATTAGCCCTCCCCAGCCCCATCCCATACACAGTAAGGCAAGAAAGAAAAGGGACTGAGAACATGAGGATTCCATCCAGTGACCCTGGAGAAGAAGAGCCCTTTTTCATCCTAGTATAGTGGGAACAGAACTAGTTCTGCAGTCAAAGGGCCTGGATTCAAATCCTGACTCAGATTCTTACTGTCACTTAATTTTTCTGGACCTCAGTTTTGGCATCTGTAAAATAACGGGATTAGACTAGATGGTTTCAGAAGTCTCTTTCAGCTGTAGAGCTCTAATCCTAAAATCAGACTTCCACTCTGGGATGAGAGTATAAGAGGCATAGAGGGCAAAGGGGGCATCTTTCAGAGAAGGTGGGCCCAACCGCTGTTTGCAGCTACAGAGGACATCAGAGTTTGCTCAGCAATCCACAGTCCACCCTAGTGAAGCACCAATGGCTAGGGCGGGGGTGAGAGTGGGTGGGAATGACACCAGGGTAGTTTCCATGAAGAGGTGATGAAGGAGTGATGAAATGGAAGCAATGAACTAGAACGTCTGACTCCTGCCTCCTCCCAGGTAATGCAGTAATTCAAGCGAAGGGGAGAACAACCTTTCTGGGCCTGCGTCTGGGCTCCCCATTTCCTATTATCTAGATCTCCCATAGATTGAGGTGTCCCAAGGAGACCTGGGTCAGGTGAAAGAAGCCCCCTTCAACTACACCTTCTTGGTGGTGGTGGTGGTGATATTGTGAGTCTTCTACTATCTCTCCAGGGTGTCACACAGTGGGACCCAGGCGGCAGGGCGGGGTGAGATTGGGGGGAGTTAAACTCCGGGGATTGGGTAACGGTTCTGCAACCTCTTGTCCCTTTGAGTACTTGCACAAGTGGCGCCTGCGGAGGGCGGAGTGGAGAGTCCAGCCGGGGCGGGGACAACACAAGTGGGAGGGCTGGGGCGGGCCCAAGCACTGGGGACTCGAGCTTGGTGCTTCAAGACGCAGGCTGCAACCGCGTCGTGTGAATGAACTGAGCGGATTGCCGCGGACTGAGGTGAGGACCTGCTGCCTCTACTCTCTTGCCCCCGATCTCTCTCTCCCTCTCTCTTTCTCTCTCTCTCCCTTTCAAGAGTTCATGACCACCCTAGCCCTCTTTCATGGGCTCCTCCTTTCCAAGATCTCAAAGCGTGATCTCAAGGGCGAGGCGCCCCTCTCCGCCTCCTGCAACTTCTTCTCTCCCGCCCCCCGACAGTTGACCCGCCCCTCCTTTCTCAAGACCGGACTCTGCCCTCTCCTCGCCCTTTCCCTTGCCTCTGTTTTCCCTGCCCCGCCCCCCCCCCCCACTGGCAATCTTGCCCCGACTCTGACCACTTGGTTTCCAGTCTTGTGCCAGGCAAGGGACTGAGTCACAAGGGAGAAGGGGAGCTTGAGTCAGTGTCCAGCAATCTCGACTAGGGGTGGTCACCCATGGCATGGGTACTAAAAGCGGGATAGGATAGAGTCGAGACAAAGGGAGGAATAGGAATGGGACGAAAACAGAGATAAAACCTGAGGAATGCACAGAGGGGACAGGCATGAAGGAAAGTGTTCATTTCATTCTGAGTGTGGTCTTATGATGTGCCAAATGGGATGAGGGAGATACCCTGCGGATTCCTACGCAAAGAGGGTAGTGGGACTGACAAAGTCAACCCTACCATCACCCACCACTTTCTTTCTCTCTCTGGCCCAGCCCTGACATGTCCGAGTTTTCTGCCCAGCCTGGCTGGGGCAGGATGTGGGGGCGGCTCTTTGGTGAAGGGACAGGAAGGAAGTCTGAGTGGAGACAATAGGTGGAAGGGGAGGAGGAACTGGAAACTGGACAGCAGTGTTTTGGGTTAGAGCTGCAGAGACCTGTGGGAATGGTCTCTTCCATTCCTGACTCCTCCTGATTGAGACTAGGCTAATCACTCCCCGTTCTACCCCACCCTGATTATGTTGACCCTTCACCTTCCTCTCCCCTGGTTCCAGGCTGCTTCTCTTGGACCAGCTACCTCATCTCATGGCCCTCAGTGACCCCAGCCCCCTCCTGTGACCTTGGTCCCTTTCCTCACTGCACAGTGGCTTTCTAGGGTTCTAGGTATCTGCTTTCTCAGTGATTCTGTGTGGTGTAATGGAAAGAACACTGAACCGTGAGTTAAAGAAACGTGGGTTCTGGCTCTGGCTCTGCCACCTATTGGATATGTGATCTTGGGCAAGTCACTTAATCTCTTTGGGCCTTCCTTTCCTCATTTGTAAAACAAGGCGTTTGGGCCAGATCCCTTTAAAGTCTCTTCAAGCTTTGACAATTTGTGAGCTCTGTGTCTCCACATTCCCTGTGTCTACATCCCTATAGCTTTGCCTGATTGTGGTTGGGGGAGGCTTGTGGGATTTGGATTAGGTCTCTTCTACCCCAAAGCTGAGAAGGGTATATGAAGCTTAGCTTGAGCCCTGTCCACCATCCCCACCTCTACCCATTCTTTTCCAGGCAATGGCCTGAACTCTCATGGAGTCACCCAGGGACCTGGACATTGAGGTCTGGTTGGCAGGAGTACATCTAGAACGGTACGCAGATACGTTCCGGAGGCACGGTGTGTCCACTGCGACTGCTGCCCAAAGCCTGGGCCACGAGGAACTTCGTCGAATGGGCATCTGGGCCACCGGTCATCGCAAACGGATTCTTCGCCTGCTTCAGGGGGCTACTGTGGAGGTCCCTACAGACACCCCACTGGACACTACCATGGATCAAACCCCAAACCCAGATCCTCAAGTGCTCCCCACCAAACCAGTGCCCAAACCAAGGACAGTGTTTACTTTTTTTGGCACCACTCCTGCTGAATCAGTCCTGCCTCCCTTGTTGAACCCTCCTATGGAGACCCTTCCAGTGCCTCAGGAAGAAGATACCAGCCTAATAGTCCAAGATGAAGGGAGCATGGTCCCCAGGGGTTCAGAGCAGCCAGTGAGCCAAGAACCTTCCCTAAGCACCCCCCAGTCTCCCATTTCCCCCTCCTTCCCTTCAGATCAGCCTCCTATCTTGGACAGGATGACCATGATGCCCAATGATATCTACTTTGGCCTAGACCTTGGAAGGGGAGCACAACCAGGGACTCAGGAAATGTGAGTGGGTTAGCAATCAGCTGAGGAAGGAACCAGAAGATCTGGGATTCAGTAGGGGAGGGAGAAATAAGGGGGAGGGGGAGAAGGCAAAGCATTCTATCTTTCTTCTCTCCCTCCTTCCTCCTTGTGTTACAAGTTCCCTTCCATCCTCAGGACTACAGACTGCTCCCTGGTAGATTCTCCTACTCCCATCCCTACTTCCAGACCTACAGGAGGCACAGGTCAGTAGAGGACCATGAGGAGGTTGAGGGGAGGGTTTTTAGAGGTGGGGATTCACTATAGGCATCTTACTATTTGACTTGTCTCCCCATCTCTATTCCACCAAACTCCAGTGCATATCATGGACCCTAGCAGCCTGTACTATGGTGTTCAGCCTGTTTCAGTCCCTGGAACTCCCAAAGGGAGGAAGACAAGGGGTGTCAGTCAGTCAGCAGGTGAACCCAGGTAAGTGATTTGAGGAGGATCATGAAAGGTAAGATATAGAGGAGACATGGAAAGGAATATTGGGGAGAGATTTAGAAGGATTGTAAAGGAGATTTAGAACAAGTAATGAGGGGAGGAATATAGCAGTCATGAGGAGAAGAGATGGACTGAATTGAGTTAACTGGTTCACACCTCTCCTCTACTTTCCCTAGGCCAAGCAGCCATGAATCAGAGGGGGTAGAGGATTGTGGCTATGCCAGTCTGGAGCTGCCTGGGAACTCCACCCACTTGATGCCCATCCTAGACCCTGAAGAGCCAGGCGATGATCTTATCTCTCCCTATGCCAGCTTCACCTCACTAGCTGATCCCCCCACACCCTTGCTCAGTGGCTGGTTGGACAAGCTCTCGCCTCAGGGGTGTGATTGGAAGGGGGTGATATGGGGGACTTTGGAAAGAACAAAAACCAGGGAGGAGTGTGAGAAGGGGAGGGAAGCCATAAGAGAGGAGAGGTAGGAATTAGGAAGAGGGGATGGAGGGTGTTGGTGTTACAAAAATGACTTGAGAAGGAGGCAGTCTATCCCTCTAACCCTAAGAGACCCCCCCCCTTCCACTTCATCAGAGAGTACCTTCCTGTTGCCTACCCTGGGCCCTGGAAGACTGATTCCTCCCTCCTCCTTTCCCCCAGGAATTATGTCTTTCAGAGGCGTTTTGTCAGGTTCAATGGAAAGAAACTGATGTATTATGGAAGTGACAAGGTGGGTTTGCATGTATGTGGAGGGTAGGAATGGAGTACAAGGAGGCTAGGAAGCTCAAGGAGGGATGCTAGGTTATTAAGGGACCTGAAATTTGGGAGGAAATCTGAGAGGAAGGAAATGAGGGTATTAAGGGGAAATAGGGTCTTCCTGGGGTGGTAAGACCAACCTGCTAGAGTTTGTTGACTCTGAGTCAATGCTGATATCTCCCCAGGACACCTTCCCTAAGGGGGTTATCCCATTGACTGTCATTGAGATGATCCGAAGCTGCAAGGATTGCAAGTTCCAAGTCATCACTAGCCAAAGGGTGTTTGTGTTTCGAGCTGAGAGCGAAGGTGAGAGGAGGGGCAGTGTGGGATAGGAGGCAAACGGGCAGACCCACTGCCATCCAATTCTCTTTAATCCAAAAAGCATTTATTAAGGATGTACCATGTGTAAGGTGAGAGGTAGCATGGAGGGCTGGCCTTGGCATGAAGAAGACCTGGGTACAAATCCTGCCTTTGACAGGCTGTGTGATCATGAGCAAGTGACGAACCTCTCAGTGCTCCAGGAAATTCTCTGACTTTAAGTTGCAGATGATTTGTTGACTTTCATCTGTGGAGAGCATTTCCATA